TTTGGGGTGCTTAATATGTTTGTGTTCCTATGAATAATCTCAATTTTGTTGTATGACATGGTTAAATCACTTGGAGACAAGTGGGCTTTTGGCTGTTGATTTTTAATATTTGTTTGGCAGGACTAGAGGATCACTTGGTCAATGATGTCTATTTTCTACTGTCAGAGCAGATCCTCCTGTGTAGTCTCCCTAATACCCCATGAATTATTAGGTTTTTCCATTCAAGAAGGTGAGAACAGACACTATCACTGATCTTGTATAAGTGTGGACTGCTGTTTCCTCTAAAGCTCACCAATGATTCTTTCTCTGACTTCCAGAAAATATGAAGAATTGTTCATATGTGTGTGCTGATAAACATTAGAAGTGGATCCTCTATAAATCTCTGATTTTTCCTCTTTTGTGCTCTGATCCTTGCTCTGTGCACTCTAGCTCTGTTGTTTTCCTAAGATTCTTATTTCTGTCTGAGGGAGTTTTTCTTTTTCTTTTTTTTTTTCTTTTCTTTCTTCTTTATTTTTTTTTTTATTTGACAGATAGAGTTAGACAGTGAGAGAGAGAGACAGAAAGATCTTCCTTCCATTGGTTCACCCTCCAAATGACCACCATGGCCGATGCTGCACCTATGCGAAGCCAGGAGCCAAGTGTTTCCTCCTGGTCTCCCATGCAGGTACAGGGGCCCAAATGCTTGGGCCATCCCCTACTGCCCTCCCAGGCCACAGCAGAGAGCTGGACTGGAAGAGGAGCAACCGAGACTAGAACCCAGCACCCATATGGGACGCCAGTGCTGCAGGTGGAGGATTAACCAAGTGAGCCATGACACCAGCCCCTCTTTTTTTTTTAAGAATTAGTCCTCACCTTTTTCTACCTTAGTCTTTGAATGGGGTCCAATTCAAACTATGAATCAGGTCAGAATACAACCTCCATATTGAGCATCAATGTCTATGTCACATTGAAACACATTCTTTTTTTATTGGATCTTTGGCCTGCAGTTTGAGGAAGTTAGAATTACTTGGGTGGTATTTTTATGGCACAAAAATTAGTGATTCAATTCTTTTTTAAGAGAAAAACTCAGGGAATATACTATGAAGTAAGATTTTTTTTTTATATTTTCAAAAAAAAGATGTCTATAAGAATCCTTGCAGAAAGTTAAAACAGAGTTACTGAATAAGGATATAAACATTGGAAAAATGAAAACTTAGGGAAAGAGCTTTTTGTTTCTATTAGCTATGTTTAAAAATCTAAACTTCATATTTTTTCTTTTTAATATTTATTTTATTTACTTCAAAGTCAGAATTGCAGAGAGCTGGAGGGCTAGACGGAAGGAGGGAGGGAGAGAGAGTCGGAGAGAGAGAGACAGAGAATCTCTCATCTGCAGATTCATTCCCCAAATGAGCACAGAGATTGGATTGGGCCAGACTGAAGCTTAGAGTCCAGAACACCATCTGGGTCCTCTTCCACATTTGAGTCCTAGGACTTTCTTCTGCTGCCTTTGCTGCTGCAATAACAGGAACCTGGACTGGAAGCAGATCTGGGACCAATCAGCAACTGCAATCCAATATGATGCCTTTGTGCAAGCAGCAGCTTAACCTACTGTGTCATTGCAGCAGCACCTATCACATCCTTTGGTTATTCTAATTCTGATATTTACTTGGATCAATTAAGACTTCATCTCAATCTTCCAAGCATTGAAAGACCATCCTATATTGATTTTGTTCCCAACCCTACACGTTGCAAATATGATTCTTTCAGTTCACCATTTAAAGTTAAAGGAAAGTTAGGGCTAATATATTAAAATCTTATCAGAGCTACTTATTGTATATATTTAATTAAATTGGATATACATGATGTCTAGTAACCATTTAGAAACAAATTAAGTACGTTGCAAAACATAGGTCAGTGGTCCTAGGGTAACATTGCCTGAATCTATAGGATTCTCAGAGATGAACCCCACTCCTCAGATCTCCCCGACTCTGGTCGTAATGACTGAACTTTACATACTTTACCAACCTGTCAGTGGAGGTGCTCCTACCCCTAAAAAGACAGCCTGGACGAGGTGGTTTTCTGACGCTGAGGCATTTCCTGAAGGAACTTGCAGCTGAACTCTGTCTCATGTTGAGTACCGGTCGTTGAAATCATGAAGTTTTCACTGATGAGATCTGGGGAACACAATATAGTCTCAACAGGTTCCCCAAACTCTTTAAAAATTTGTTTATTTGAAATCCAGAGTTACAGGGGCTGGTGCTGTGTCATAGCAAGTTAAGCTACTGAACTGCTGTGCTGGCATCCCACATGAATGCTCCTTCAAGTCCTGTCTGGTTCACCTCAGATCCAGCTCTCTGCAAATGCTCCAGGGAAAGTAGTGGAAGATGGCACAAGTCCTTGGGCCCCTGAACCCATGTGGAAGACCTGGAGGAAGCTCCTGCCTCCTGGCTTTGACCTCCTCCAGTTCCAGCTTTAACTGTCATTGGGGGAGTGAACCAGCAGATGGAAGACCTCTATCTCTTTGTCCCTCTCTCTCTTTCACCCCTCTCTCTATCTCTCTCTGTAACTCAGATTTTCAAAATAAATGAAATAAATCTTTTCCTTTAAACGAAAGAAAATGCAAAATTACAGAGAGAGAGGAAGGAGACAGAGAAAGAGGGAGATCTTCTATGTGCTAGTTCACTCCCAGATGGGTGCAACAGTTGAGGCTGGGCCAGATCAAGGCCAGCAGGTAGAAGCTTCATCCTGGTTTCACACATGGGTGCTGGGTACCCAAACACGTGGTCTATTTTCCACTACTTTACCCAGGCCATTAGCAAGAAGCTGGATTGGTAGTGGAGCAGCTGGGATGCGAACCGGCAACAACATGGGTTGCCGGCATTGTAGGTGGAGACTTTACCTGCTATGCCACAGCGCCAGCCCCCTTCCCCAAACTGTACAATTATAGTGAGTGTTCAGAGCTTAGTTTTAAAGTGAGGTATTTCTTTTTTTTTATTTCATCATTAGCTGTTGTGTTAGGTACCTTTTCTTGTATTCCTAGTGTTAAAATAAAATATATACTAGTATACTTTTCTGAGATATACTTGCCAATGTATTTATTTTCTTTTCACTTTCATTAAAGACTTTTTGAAATACCCTGGCTTTTACTTGTTTCAGTGAAGCATTTGAATAATAACAGCAAGAATATAATTTGGAGGCATAGTTTTGAAGGCATAGAGCATTAATTCCTTCACAATTATGATCACTTTATTTTTTTTAATTTTGAAGAAAGAGAGTAGAATCTGTGATAAGTTGAACCAAGTAACTCAGAGTGAAAGAACTGTTCTTGTAGCACCTATTAGAGTGAAAGGGGTCTGCAACCAGAGAATTACTGACTTTTCCAATGACCAAACAGATGTCAAAAATCTACTTTTTAAAATAAGTCAAACCACACTGCAAATCAAGAATTTTCAGACCTAAATTTATATACTTTAATTGAAGATCTCATAATATGACTTGAGGCAGTTTTTAAAGCCTTTCATTTTTCACCTTAGGCTAGGTATTTTTCCCTACAGTAAATGGTTTGTCATTTATTTCAGAAACAGCATTGACACAAATGAGAGCAATAAGTGGGCATGACTCATTCTGGAAGGATGGAGAGATTTTTAAGTCCCTCTATGGCAATGCAGTGGGTTTCCATCAGGCTGTCATGGGTTGATTTATTTCCTTTATACTTTAGATTGGTTCCAGAGCACAGCCTTTTCCCTGGTGACATGGGGGTGACAGAGCAAGTGGAACCTAGGTGTCTTACCCTCGAGGAGTTTGTAATGTTTGTATTACTTATTTATTTCTCTTAAAAACATATTAAATTTATTTCTGTACTTATGACTTGGGTGCAATGGAGTGAGATTCATTATTGTTTGCTAATTAAATCTATAACACTATTATCATTATTACTATTTTTCTAACAGTTGCTGAAAAGTGAGCATGACACTTTTAGACATCCACATTGTAGGGGACTTTATGCTTTTTAACAGTCTTGAATCTAAATCCTCAAATGGATTATTTGAACAGAAGCAGCTGCTCTTCCATGTAGACTTAAATCTTGTTATGAGCATTGATGGACATTAGGAAGGGATTTGAGGCCTAGGAAGAATTACTGTAGCACAGTATATGTATCTGTGGAAGACAGACAGAGGGAGAGAGGAAGATGGAGAGGGAGGGAGGGAGGAAAAAAAGGAGAATAAGAGAGAGAGAGAGAAAGAGAGAGAAAGAGAAATGTGTGTTTGGCTCAATTTTGTTATTATCAAAAGTGGAGGAAGGGAAGGGAGAAAATTTGGCACATACAGCAATTGTAATATTTTCATATAGCATCTGAGTTACAAGATGTCCCTAAAATCACTTTTCTATATACCGGTTTAATCAATTTTTTACATATTTCATCATGGGCATTATTGTAATTGGAGTTACTAGACAGCTCATTGGGAACAGAGCCTTAAAAATCTCACTCTCTTGAGCAATAGTCATTAATTGGCACACCCAAATGCCAAAAAGTCACCAGAGCATAACAGAGGCTGCCAGGGCTTACTGAGCCACAGTGTATGAAAAGGAGACATCGTGGGTTCAGGCTTAGATTTTGTGGTAATAATACATAACCCTTCCTCCCTTCTCTCCCAATCATTCAGGAAAACCTCAATGATCATAATTATACTGCTGACATCCCAATTTACTTTGAAGGTCAGTCAGCCTACATTAATTCTCTTTTTACTCTCAAACACAAAATCTTTCATAAGTTAGGTACACTGAATCCAGGGCTTGATAGGTACAAGGGAATGAAATTTTCAGATATAATGATGTTGCTGCAGTTGCCCCAGGAGTTTTAATTTGATTTCTAAATGACCAGCATATGTGTTTGTAAGTGTATATATCAGTTTTCTGGTATCCATAAGGATTCTTTGAAATTCCACAGGGTCCCTGGGGGGAACAGCAACAATAACGGACCTTCCAGATTTTAGCTTACTTTTTCTTTTGTCTTCAATTAGATGCAGTAATTACCTTGTTCTGTGCAAACACTATCAAGAGGCTACCTTTTGATTTATGCTAAAATTGAAGTCATTACATGGAAATCATACTGTGTGAAATATTCCTATTGACAAGAGTTCAGTGCATCAAAGATGAAGGCAGAGGAACACAGCACGCTCATTGACCTTCAAGGTATGATTTTTAATTGTTTCATATTTTTATTTATGTTGATATTCTTATTCACAATGTATGATTGACTCATTTTACCTTCTTCAGAACACTTCTGTGTTTGTTATTAAGGTCTTTGTCTACATAAATGTCTTCTAGGCTAACAACTGAAGTCATCAAACTTAACTTCAAAGGCATCATAATTTCTTTTTCTAAATTTTTTAATTTAAAAGTTTTATTAAAAGTATACAATTTCACATATTTCATATATGCAGAGTTAGGAGCATAGGATTCTTTCCACCGTACCTTCCCTCCCATCGCATTCCTGCAAGGCTCCAGTCCTTCTTCTTCCTCCTACCAGATTTCTATTTTCCCAATTTTATGAATTTATTCTCTCTTTGGCTTTATCTTTTCATGTTCTGACCTTGCTTTAGTGACATCTCTGATTGCCTCTAATTTCACTAAAGAATACATTTACCTTGATCTCATGAAATTTATGGGGTTTTATTACCAATAAAATAGCATTTAAACTGGAATTTCTCACAGGTAAGGACATAAAGATGAAACCTACACACAGAGGCTAACTGAAATTTGCACACGTAGGGCATTTGAACAGACTTTAGGTTATCTAACAAAACTGAACTGCTGCCAAGGATGTTTTAGAAACTCCTTATATACAAGGATTTCGTTGTTTCTTTTTTTCACCAGATTAAACTTATTTATTGCTTTAAAAAGTTGTTATTCATGTTCATTTTGTTTGAAAGGCAGAAAGACAGAGACAGAACAGAAACTGAAAGAAATCTTCCATCTACTAGTTCACTCCTTAAATTTGCACAATAGCTCTGGCTATACCAAACCAAAGTCTGGAGCACAGATCTCAATCTTTGTCTCCATGTGAATGGCAGGGACCCGATTATTGGAGAAATTACCTGCTGCCTCCCAGAAAGTGTATTGGCAGGAAGCTGGACTCAGAAATGGAGGCTGGACTTGAACCCAAGCACTAGGATATGAGATTTGGGCATCCCAAGTGCCATCTTAGCTGCTGTACCAAATGGCCACCACCAAAACAAACTTAGCTTTTACTTTCATTGTCCATTAACTTTTTAAAGTATCCTTATATAAGACCCTTGTAAACAAATATTAAATCAAGATTTTCATAATTTTTAATGTATTTGTTAATATCCAGAGTACTTTAATCATATCAAGACTCCCAGCTTAAAAAGCACAATATTGCAAAATAGTGTAAAACATATCCTACAAAATAACAAAACCTCAGGGTCCTATAATATGGTATAAAAAATCTCCCTGTCTAGTCAGATGCTGAAATCTTCTCCCTGCTGGAAGTATTCTATATATACATCTGTATTATTAACAGAAAGAAAATCATGTATTTACATTTAAAAGAGCACACATTACTAGTTCATGACTTTTCCAGGGAAGAATGGAAAAACATGAGGCATATATACAATATGGTAACATCTATAAATATGCATAAGATTATTTATAAATAGACATAATTTTTCATTGATGGAAGTAGGTTGCTTATGGCAAGTCTACATTGCCAAAATTGTTACCATTAAATTATACACAATTCAAAGACAATTCTTACTGTCTATAGACCAATGATAGTAGTAATGATAGTAGTATTCACTATCTTATCTAATAGAAATAATATAAAAACATTTTCAGTAGAAGTTATGTTAAGAATATGAATTCTTGGGGCTGGCGCCATGGCTCAGTAGGTTAATCCTCCACCTGTGGTGCCAGCATCCCATATGGGTTCCGGTTCTAGTCCCAGTTGCTCCTCTTCCAATCCAGCTCTCTGCTATAGACTGGGAAAGCAGTGGAAGATGGCCCAAGTCCTTGGGCCCCTGCACCCACATGGGAGACCAGGAAGAGACACCTGGCTCCTGGCTTCAATTGGCACAGCTCTGGCCACTGCAGCCATCTGTGGATAAACCAACAGAAGGAAGACTTTTCTCTCTGTCTCTTCCTCTCACTGTCTGTCAAATAAATAAATAAAATAATTTAAAAAAAGAATATGAATTCTTTCATGCAAAAGTAATTCGAGAAGGTTGGAGAAAACACATTTGTTACCTCAAGATGTGAAATGCTGTTATCTATTTATGATATATTTTGATAATATTTATCATATATAAGTAAAATATAAACTTTTTGAGACTTTCAATGCAATTTTTGATAATTAAAGATTATATAAAATTAATTTCTCATTTATAATTTGCTAATATAGTTCTTACTCATTAAAACATGTCTTTGTGGAAATATTTTAATTAGCTTTAATGTATCTTTATATGTACAATCACTCCCAAGCCAGTTATCTTCCCTGTAAAATAGATAAACTTCCTGCTGGATTTACTAGAAAGTTTCAAAGTGAAAACACTTTAAAAAAGGCATTTTATATATTTTAAAATTATATATTCATTCATTGTTCACTTCACTATTGTATCTGTTTATAAAATATAATCTTTACATACTTTCAAGTACTGAAAACACTTTGTTGTGAAATCTGAAGAAACATTAAAAAAAAAGTTTTCTAATGTACAGAATACAATATGAACCCTGGTAGTAAATTTTTTTTCAAAGCAATGTCTTTAAAAGTCAGTCAAAGTTCCTTTTTTTTCCCCCAAGAAACTGAAATCTGCTTTCCATAGTTCTTTTCAGTTCAGATTGAAAAGTAAACAGTGTAGGGTTAAAGGATTTGGAATCTGGAGCCTACTGTCTTGGTTCAGACCCCAGCTGTGTCCCTTTATAGTTGTATGACTTTAGGAAATATCTTAATATCTCAGTGCTTCTGTTTCCTTATCTATAAAGTACTTAAAATAACATTGCCTTCTCTTGGAGTTGTGAGAAAATAATAGATGTAATGCATGTGGCAGAGTGCCTAGGACATGCTAAGTACCAGTGAATTCCAGACTTCACTACTGTGTCCTTTTCTAGAAGTTTCTAAACAGTTCACTGTTCCAGTTTAGTTCCTGCTAAAATGCTTTGACAATCAAGAACTTTACTATCTGGATTTAACCCTCCAGACAGTGACCTCTACATTGCAATCCTCACAACTCTCGCCTAAGTTACCTAGAGGATCAATATCAATTGTATCTAGCTATCTATTTTAATTTGCTGTTCATTTAACTTTATTTGGAGGGTAGGGTGATGGAAAGACAGAAAGATACAAACAGAAAGATATCGTCTATCTGCTGTTCCACTCTCCAAATGCCCACACAAGCCCAAGCTGAACAGGTTTCCCAAGTGGGTGACAGAGACCCAAATATTTGAGCCATCACCTGCTTCTTCCCAGGGTGCACATTGGAAGCTGGATTGGAAGCAGAGGAGCTGGGACTTGAGTCAGACTCTACACTGTGGGATGTGGGATTCCAAGTGGCTTCTTCACTGCTTCACCAAATGCTCATTCCAACAATGTATACATTTTTATGAGTTTTGGAATACCCTATCATACACATACTCAGGTATTTCTGTAAGCACTCCAGAAACAATGACTTTCATGCTCAATCCAGCCCTGAATAAGTCAAACTTCTAGCCTGTGTTGCTATTCTCTGTGGTCTCAGCGTTCATTGCTTCCTCCATTCAATTCACAGATAATGCTTCCTCCCCTGCTCAGCAGATTAAGGGACCTTCATAGTTACCTTGTGAAATTGCTTTATTCTACCTTCCCATGATGAACAGGAGTTCTAGAAGAGCAGTCACCATATCTGATACATTTGCATAGGTAACATCCTCAGCATGTTATAGTGTCTGATAGCTATTGATTTCTCAACACATATGTATGGAATACATAAATATAAAATGCAAATTGTTTACCTCAAATAAAATGGCAGTGTATTACATACACACACATACATTTATACACACAGTATCTTTCCTTCCTTTCTCTATTTGGCAAAATCATATTGACTTATTAAAGGTCAGCTTTTTTTCCCTTTTATGTGAAGCACTTTAATCCTCACATAGGAAACATTTATGTCTTCTCTTTACTATGTGCTCCTACAATGTATGGCTCTGTTAGGCACACAGGCCTTTATCAAGTATGGGTTTGTAAGAGGAACTACTTAGTTACTCTATACTGAGTGGCGGAACAGGTGAAAAATTTTTGATGGGATCCACCTTGTATATCTCTCAAGGTGATTCTTTCACTAACTTTTTAAAAAGATGAGTTGATAATTTCTATAATAAAATTACAAGAAAGAACTACATGAATTTATGATATAGTTAATAAGCATATCTATAGAAATAAAAACTATAAAAACAAAAATGCACACTGGATTTTAACTTTCAATTGCTTTTAGCTAGCAGCTTGAGGGACATCTATAATAAATATGTTAAAATGCAGTATTTCTGGCAAAGTCTGGATTCTGCTTTTGGCAATCTATTTATCATCATTTGTTTATCCACTTTAGTAGTTCATATAATTCTGCTTTGGAATAGTCTTTTTTTTTTTTTTTACCAGAGGTGTATAGCACAAATTAGAATAATACTTAATCTCCATCTGCTCTTGGAAATAACTCAAGTGCACAGTCTTAATGCATTCATTTACTTGACAAAATAGGGCCCATTATCACCAGTAAGTAGTGGGAGTACAGGGATCAACAAAGCAATCTCTGTTTTAAAGGAGAATACATTAAGATACAATGAGAAAGAAAGCTAGAAAATCTGTTAATGCAATAAATATTTAAATGCTCATAGAAGCTATTTACTTAGAGAAGTATGAAACTAGAAATGGAAATGACCATGACTGGGATAAGAAGGGTTGCAGAATTTTTCCAAGACTGTGTGAAGCTTGAGTCTTGAGATTCAGGAGGAGATGACAAAGCAGATGGAGTTGAGTTGTAGATAACCAAGATCAGGAAAGATAGTCCAAACGGATGAAATAGGAATTGTGTCCTTATAGTCCTAGGTGCTGCAGAGAGAGAGAGAGAGAGAGAGAGGCAGGAAAACAGAGATCCCATCCACCTGCTCATTCCTCAAATGCCCAGAAGCTGGAGACTCAA